GTTTATCTTTGCCCCCCAAAGTCCGTTGTGTGTTTTAGCTTCGGAACATTTGGATCGGTTGGCCCCGACAACCCCCATACGATTCATCCGCTGACTTGGCTGGAAGACCACTTTTGGACAATTCCACGCAAATTCCCACATGGAAGGGAAGGGTTAGAAGGAGGAGGTCAGACACTAGATAACTTTTGACCATCTTTGTTGCAAACCTGGTGTAATTCCCGCTCCCAGACAGGACCCACCCCAACCGTTGGGAGGAAGTCCATCGTCAACCCCTCTTCGGAAATAGATGGGCGACAGACATGAGGGGTTGCGTTATGATGAACTCATCCCTACCCTGGAAGAGCTGGGTCAAGCATGAAGTACTTAGGATAGGGGATCTTTGGGACAGTGAAAGGCAGGACTGGAAAACAGGGGACCAACTACGAGCGACCTTAAGATACTGCCACCTCGTAAAGGAGCTATTGGAAAACCTTATTGAGGCCATTCCACTGGAATGGTACCGGATCCTCAAACGTGGCTCCACCTTGAAAGAAGGGAATTGGGTTGCAGACACTGGGACCCCACTGAGGATTGACTTGATACATATAGTTTCGCCCCAAATAGTCTTGGTCGAATACTATACTAACACCAGAATATACATTCTTCAAGGGAGTGGAGCACCCTTCGAATGGAGAGATAGAACATCAGTGCACCGCGTGAGAGTTATAGAGGAGAAGGGACAAAGGGTGGCGTTCTAGCCAGACAAACCAATCCAGGACTTGGCTCTGGACCCGGTGGAATGAACTTGGAAGCCTCCTCAAAAGAGGGGAGCCCCTAATACAAGACATATTAGCCTGCACCAACAACCGGTTAAATCAACTTACAAAATGCTCAGACCTAAACGCTATCTGAGGGATCTGATCAACGATCGATGGGCCAAACACCTGAATGTGGACCGCACCCTCCTGTCACCAATCCAATGGTTCAAGGAACAAAAATACAAGCTCATGAAAATCACCTCCCTCCAGTGGCAGATAGCCCACCGTTGTCTGCCAACTAACGATTGGTTAACCGACTGTACAAACCTCGAACAAAGAGACATACTGCTCCCATAGTGCCAGCGGTGTCAGAGTCTCTTCCCGTCCCACAAGAAGGCGGAAACCATTTAAAATATTTTCATGCAATGCCCGATTGCCTAATTGATATGGAGATGGTGGGACCGTACATGGCGTAAAATGGAACCGGATATTCCTGGACCCTGGTCATGGCAAGCCATATTGGCTGGGCACTGGGTGTTGGCATGAACAACCACGACCTTCGTAGAGAATATGTACAGACTTGGAAGGAGGGCGGTGATATGGGCACTCTGGTGGCAGAGATACACTCTGGCCATGGAGAAGGTACGGGTGGAGGGGGCAGAGATCACATAATAGATCCAGCAACAGATACACCTTGAAATCACACGTAGATGGTTGGACACAAAAGCACAATTAGCTCTCCTCAGACAAATTGGAGACATCAGGAGACGAATTACGACATTTTGCATGGACTGGGTAGGAGGGGAAAAAGAAGGATGGATTGCAAAAATAGAATGGAGTGGTGACAAAGGTGGAGGGTTGCGTGACTTGGAAGAAATGAGAGACTATCGTTTAGTTTTCAAAGACTGGATTAACATAGAGCGCTCGTTCCCATTACGCCCTCTTGTATAGCAAAGAGATAATCATGTTCCTCATGCCTATTAATAAGTTACCTCCAATAAGACTTGATTATAGATATCTACAAGCTCCTCTTTGATCACATCCCAAACAACAAGATAAAGTTCGACAGGTAGGCCATTGTCGCGAGGGGCTTTCCCCCTCGCCATTGAATTCAGTGCTTCCCATGCCAGTTCTTCAATAGATACCGGCCGGTCCATATCCAATTTGCCTCGAGTGGAGAGTCTTTTTCCAAAGTGGATCCAGTGATTCGAATTTTCCGATAGGTCTGTGGTTAGGCCTTCGAGTGGTCTTCTGAGGGCAGCACAAGACATCGAGGGAAGGAGTTGGACGGCTTTGGCGGAGTATCAGCTGGCCAAAGACTGGGACTGTATTGGCCAAGGGGAGGATACCTGGCTGCTACTCACAATGGAATGGAGTACTTTATCCTTTTTGTTCTTTCTTTTTTTTGACGAAGTCCTATCGGGAAGAAAAGCGAAGTCAACATTCTGGCAGGGGATCCTCCAAGCTTGGAAGACAATACCGCCCAAGCGTCCGCAAGACCCGAGCACCAGGGATGAGGTGGCTCAGACAGCCGGTGTTCGACAACCAGCAGATACCGTGACGGAAGTTCATTGGTGGAATTTCGTTTTGTGGCAACTCCAGGGAAAGGGAATTTGGGCAGAGAATCTGGATTAAGAGGGGCGTCTTAAGAATAGAAGACACTTGGGATGTTTTTGAATTTATTTGGTCATCGCTGCACTTAACTCTCCAGGATCCGACTCTCCATTGCAATTTGTGCATGCACTATCAGATGCTGTGCCAGCACTAGCATTTTGTCCGTTCAGCTCCACGGCACGCTCTCCGAATTCGGCGCCGCCTGGAGAATCTCTCGGAGGGCTTTCCCAACAAATGGCGGTTGCAGGTTGTGCACTCTCCGCAAGTCCTCCAGCTTTTCATACCTTTGAAGAACTTCCAGCCATCAAAGAAACAAATAACAACATTGAAATTCAAACATAATTGTGCTCTCCCAAAAAATGGCGGTTRCCGAWTRWRMACWMTCCWCCCGCGACGGAGAGTGCTGTTCGAGAATGTGTTCAGACAGCTCTCCGCGTTTTTTTTTTTTTTTTTTTTTTTTTTTTTTTTTGGGGGGGTCGAATCGGAGACTTACTGTAGGGATGATGAAGAACTGAGTCTCTCCGAAACCACAGAGCGGAGAGTCGTGCAGTGCCGCATACCCTTTCTGATGTACACTACCATCCAGACTGAGGCCTGGACCCCACAGGCCAAAATCTTGGAAAACGGGCGACGCGAGTGCTTTTCCCGGACCCCGCTGGAAGAAATGGGGTTTCTGGAAAGTGTTTTTTTTGTCGCGTTTTCCGCTTCCCGGGAACCCACAGTCTGGAAAAGTGTTCGTGGAAGATGGCACTTTGACATTTCCACATGTGGTTTCGGTCCAAAATGTGTCATTTTCCGTAGTTGACGGCACAATTTTGTGGCAAACGGACTGGGTAGGGGGGGGGGGCTGGAAAAGTCTGGAAAACTTCCTTGCACGACCCGGGTCCATGGAGTGTCCTGTAGGTGGCACCTTATGTTCCAGCGGCCACACGCCGCCACCCACACCTCCCGAGTCGGACATCGCGGGCGCCCATATCACCCCAACGGACTTCACTGGTCCATAATGACGGCACGAGCTTGGAAAAGTCTGGAAGAAATCGCTTTTCCAGGCCTTTTCCAGCCTCTTTGGTGGGGTCCCGTCGTTTCATCCACGGAATCTTCCAAGTGCCCTTTCCACGATTTCCAAAATATTGCGCTTTTCCAAGGTTTTTCCAGTGGGGTCCAGCCCTGGGTGATCCACAGTTTGGGTAACAAATTGAATGAACCAAACAACAACTGAACCAAAAACAATCCAGGGCAAACAAAAACAAACAAAGAAGTAGACTGCACAGAGCTAAGCTGGAGGTGAGCCGGACCAAACAGAACAGGGCACATCATCGCTGCAGCCAAAAAGACGAAAAAGGAGAGCGCTTTGTACATTAAAGAAGCACTTTCAGAGAAAGAAAGCAGAGAACAGCAGCTACGGGGTTTAGCCCTGTAACAAATCTCGGGAGTGCTCGCGATGGCCTGCAAATCTCTTAATGGCTCAAGGCGCAAACCCTTTTCGTTGCACTGCCATTGGCCAATCTGTGGAAATGATCTGTTTATTAACCGCAAATCACACACACACACACACACACACACACACACACACACACACACACACACACACACACGCCCGCGCGCGCGCGCGCACGTGCGAGGTTCGCCTGCACCTTACGTTTTTATTTGCCAAAGAAAAAAAAATAAAAATCTCTTACGGATTTCACCAATTCCATTTGAATCCCTCCCATCGATAGATACAATCGATCGGAGCATTTCCAATGGCATAGATCGATTGGAATGTTTTTTTTTTTTGTTTTTCATTTGTTTTTTTTGGGGGGGCAAAAAAAAAAAAAAAACAGGTTGGGAATTCTTTTCTATATTTTTATTTTTTCTCGAGAGAAATTAAAAATTGAAGAAAGCTGCGGTGAAGGTC